CAAAGAATCAAGTTCATCATGCACGTACGAAACACATTGACGTGAGGTTCCATTTTGTTCGTGAGGTTATTGACGAGGGAGATATTCTTCTTCAGAAGATTGGGACCGCTGACAATCCTGCGGATATGTTAACAAAGCCAGTTTCATTGCACAAGTTTAAGCACTGCTTAGACTTGATTGGCATTTGTAAAATTTGTTGATTGCCCCATGGGGGATTAGGAGACGACTATTAGGAGTTCTACTTAGAGGGTTTGAGTCAAGGTGGAGATTGTTGATTATTGACTCAAACATGTAGTCAAAGTCCAAATCTTTGGGCTACTTTGTGGTAATGGGAGGCAAACAACATTTGTGCCTAATTTGTGCCTAACTCTTTTGACTTGATGGTAGGCCTTTGGCCATTGATGTCTTTGAGAAGCTTTTCTTTGGCTATAAAAGGAGAGCAAGGTGCAGCTCATAAGCATGGAGTAGAGACAAGAGGACAACAAGGAAGAGAGAAAAATAGCAAGAAGCCATTCGGCATAGAGAAGAATTTTCTCAAATTGTCTTGCTTTGTATTTTTGGTTTTCTCTTCCTATTGTAAGTGTGAGAGCTTGGGTTATTTGGGTCTTTGGGAAATTGAGTGATAAACACTATTGTATGTTCTCATTGATTATAGTGGAATACTCCGTTGTCTCCAAACTGGATGTAGGCATTGCCGAACCAGTATAAATCTTGGTGTTCTTGTTGATGTTGGTTTTGTTTCTGTTCTGTTTTACTATTCACTTACAGTCGAATGCCGCTTCCGCACAACAAAGTCTCTGTTAAATAAGGACAAAAATGATAAAAAAAATCCTCAATTTATTAAACACTGGGCCAAAATTATCGGATAAAAATTAAGAGGTATTTTTGTCATTTTGGTTCTTACTAAACGGAGAATTTTCACATAAGGACCAAAATGATTGACGGAGAACAAACTTAGGAACCACTTGTATCGATTTTAAATCTCGAAGAACTAAAGTGAGGAATAATGTCAATTTCATAGACCATTTTAGCTAAAAAAAACCTATGAGTAGGAGTCTATTCATGCAAGTAAGACTTTTTATGTATTAACAGCTGACAGTTGCTCACGCATGCATAAATAACTGTTTATTTATGCAAAATGCATTACCACATAACATTCACTCACACAAATCTGATCATACAACTCATGCTCATGTTACCACTCTTTGCCTCTACCTACAACCTTCTTTGTTATTTCGCCATCCCTCCATTTTAGTGAAAGATGCAAAACGTGTTTTGTAACTTACATAATTATTTGGCACTATTTTCTGGAATTGGATCCCATCCAGATCTACTAGGATTTTTCCACATCTTAGTCATTCATTGTATATTGTGTGGTCATAAATCATTTGACTTTTTTATTTAAAATTAAACACAAATAATATCTGACGAAAACTGACCACACGATGTAAGATGAACGGCTAAGATGTGAAGATCCCTGAAATCCCAACAAAGTGAATCCGAAGTGGATCTCTCTTCCCATTCTCTTTTGTTTAAGTCCACTTGTTACGTACCAATCCAAGTAATGCCAGTTAAAAGGAAGCATTTAAAAACGTTGACATTGACTTCGGGTGAGTATCAAATTCACTAATTGCTTCGTTTTTGTATTTTTTTTATTGGGTCAATGCTTCGTTTTGGTTGTTTCCGTGGTTATACACACTCCTCCAGCTGGCTTCTCAACCTTCTTTGTTATGAAAATTCTAGTACACTTAGGATATCTTATATTTTAAAGTATTCGAATTTTTTTTTAAACAAACGATATTAACTATACTAAAGGGATGAGGGAATGAACTAAGCTTCACAAAAAACTAGAAATAATTTGGTCCAAATTCGCCTTTGACGATAATCGAACTTAAGACCTTACACTTACAAGTGAATATGAATATCACTAAACCGTAGCACTAAGTGGCTAAAGTATTCAGTTGTTAAAGGAGATCTCAAATATGTCAACTAGTTCTTCAAGGTATCAAGGTTTTCTCAAAGGGAGATGTCATAATTGACGTGGCAGCTAAGTGTTATTATTTTTATTTTTTTTCAAATGATTTCTTACTTTCTAGCTGCTTTTTTTTTTGTAGCAAACAAATATGGAGTTAAATGCTTTTAATTTATTTTTTAATACATGTGTTCATTGACAACCAATAAAATGAAAACTAAAATCAATTTTAATTATCTTTTAATAGTTAAGGTAACTATGGGGTTGCTACTCAATATTACGGTCTGGTGACATTCCACTTCACTTGGAAGTGAGAGGTCTTAGGTTTAAATCTCATGAATGACGAATTCGATACCAAATTAGGTTACCCAGTGTGTGGCTTAGCCGAACTCCCCCTCCCTTTAATGTAAAAATATCGATGTACTAAAAAAAATGTAACTATGGGGCTCAATATATTAATAAAATAAATATTTGACACATCTGTGGCGTATGAAGACTAAATTTGTAAACTAAATTTTCTAAACTAAATGACATGAAAGTTGATGATTGAATTATTACTTAAATGTTAATTAACGTGTTTATTTCTTATTAGCGACACATCATATAGTTTGCAAATTTAGTGTATAAATTTAGTCTACCTAACATTACTCATGAAGAAGATTTAACATCTATATTGAATTGGTCACCTCAGTTATCAAATAAAATTATGCCATATCATATATGATGATGATGCTCAATAGATTCATTATCTGAAATCAATCTCCTATTTATTTTAGGGTAGCCACACACCCTTTTTTAACACCCACATATTCTTGTCAATTTTTGTCCATTGATCTTCTATAATTCATTCAATCTAATGGTCAGAAATTGATAGGGATGTGTGAGATGTAAAAATGGGTGTGTGGATAGCACCAAGGGCGGAGTTAGGATTTTAAACTTAGGTGTGCTAGCTAAAATTAGTACCATAAAATCATATGTTTATTTAATTTTTTTTTTGCCTACCTAAAAGTATATAATAATCAAAATGAAACATGATAGGAGTATATTTATGCGACTTTGTTATCTTATTTCTGTGCATTTACTTAGTTTATTTCCATTTATTATAGTAATTTAAGTTATTTTCGTTTTATTGTAGGTTCAGTTGGTAAAGATAACAATATATAGTCAAATGGAGCAATTTCGAGCAGTTTTGGACTTGGATTGGATAGCATGCGTGGATAACATATGGGATGGACATTTTTTGTGTTTAAAAGATGTTAAACATGTGCCAAAATCTGGAGAAATTAAAGTTGAGACTTGGAATGCAAGGAATTACACAAGAAAAAAGAATCTTAGCTGGAGAGAAACATTATCTTATTCTATCTTATCCTATCTTATCTTATCTTATCTCCAGCTGCAAGGAAGAATCCTAATTACATTTCAACATTCTCCACCTGTTTCTTAGAGTCCTAAAATAATTCAAAATGCCTTATCTCTTTCCTCTTTGGATTCAGTCGTGCCATATATATATATAAAAAGTGTGCCGCGCTTACCATTCATCTATTGAAGCTGCTGGAATTTTCAAAGTTCTTTCCATCTTTATTTTAAGTTTCAATGTTTATTTTAGATTTCTTTTCAGTTATGATGAACATGTGTAACTAAGTTTTTTTTTAGCCAGAGGTGAATTCAAAGCCATAATCATATGTTTTATATAAATTGATTACATTCAGTTATTGTTTCATAAAACATGAATGCGATTTACTTATCTGCTCTATAAAAAACTTATTCTTGTATGTTTATTAAGGGTGCACACTTAGTTTGCATGCAGGGATTTGATGCTAGAATATAAGGGAATTTCACCTAATCGTTATGAACTTATTATTTGCAAGTAATAAAAGTCACTGGTCATGATTGACAGGAGTATCATGCTTTTCATAGTTATGAATGTTTTGTCAATGCTTATGATTTTCATAAAATTTAATGATCTTTGAAATGTATCTCTATCATGCTTTTCATAGTTAGGACTTGAGAAGAATAATTTGGTTGCGTCACTGAGTCCAATTCAATGAACTCGGGAAAATCTAAGAGTTAATTAGTGTTGTTCACAGTTAATTTTGGGCATTGTCCTTCATAGTTTATAGAAAGAATAACTGGAAATCGATTTGTATGCATATGATTCATGTGTGGAGAAGAATCCTTTAGTTATCATTTCATTCATATTTCATTCGCAACTTAATTTACTTGCTGCCATTTACTTTTGTTTTAATTAAATTCGTCCAAAATTCCCCAGTCATTGTTTTGTTGTTAGTTTAACTTAATTTTCAGTTTTATAAGTTTAATTTGTATTGATTAGCATTCCTTCTAATCGCCGGAATAGAACGATCCCTACTTACTCGTACTACGATTGCATAATATGCATGATTTAATTTGTGTGTTATTTTCTACCACATCAAAACAACAATGGAATATAAACTATTCTCAAAATCATAATCCTAATCAACAAATTCAAGGACCATATAACTAATTAGCCTACTAATTAAGTCTAGAATAAGTAAACAAAGAGATTAAGAACGTACCAAACGTGACATTCATTGAAAAATCTCAACGGAAAGTAAGGAAATTGTAGAGATAGGATTTTACGGTAAATTCAAACAAAATTTTATTTTTCATTTCTTGAGTAAGAAGCACAAAGGCTAAATTGCATAGGGTAAAATGCATTTTCTTGAACAAATAGGATAACAGAAAGAGGAATGGAGAGAGAATTCATTTATTATTTTTAGCATAAAAAGTATTATTTATTACTTATCATGCGCTAAATATACATTAAATAATATATAATGAAATTAGGTGGGCTGGCTACATACATTAACATAAGCCATTAAAACATGAGTTTCCAAAAAACCTTCCCGAGCTACTTCCCACCTTAGCTTTGTGAGTAGCTATGCCAATTGCACCACCAGCTGCACCACCCTTTATTTTATTTTTACGTTGAAGCAATAATCTCCTTTATTTTATTTCACCTACGTACCAACCCATCGTATTATAAATACCCCTCATTTCTCACGTCTAAATCACCACACTCACAAAAAAAAGGTTTCCTTTGCTCACTAGAATACGAATATTTCCATCTTCAACCTCTAATCTTCTTCTTGGCAACAATGAAGCTCGTCTTTGCAACCTTCATGCTTGTTTGCCTTGTCCTCACCTCCTCTTTCTTCGAGGCATCAATGGCTGGTTCTCGTACGATCCTACTTTTTTTTTCAACTAATTACTCCATTTATGTAATTAATTAACCATGTTTCTCTTGAGTTCGTAATATTGTTCTTACAATTTTCTTTTCTCTCTTAATTTGTTTCTAAAACTCAAAATATATGACAAATGTGTGTTCGGTCAATTAATTAGTCAGGATAATGCATTCGCTTTCTTACTGTCTAATTCAGGTATCCTTTTGTCGATTAGAGTAATGTAGAATATAGCTTTATCGAAACAAATTATACGATAATTTTTTTTATATGATGTTCTAATGAACCTATTTGTATGAATTTTGTTATGAATTTTGCAGCTTTTTGTGACTCCAAGTGTGGGGTGAGATGTTCAAAAGCTGGATTTAAGAACAGGTGCTTGAGGTTCTGTGGAATCTGTTGTGAGAAGTGTCAGTGCGTTCCATCGGGGACTTATGGGAACAAGGACGAGTGCCCTTGCTACAGGGACCTCAAAAACTCCAAGGGCGAGGACAAGTGCCCTTAATCGATTCCTTTGCCTTTGTGATGGTGTTGGTATGCATTTGTGCCTAGGACGTAATATAAACGAAAGTTGATATTATTGTGTAATTTTTATATTATTAGTCTAAGTCAATGCCAAATTCGAGTTGATGTTAAAGCAAATTATTGTTTTATTATTAGTATTATATTTATGCACTTGTAAAGAGTTAGTTATTTCATGTTATGCAAGTGAATAAAGTGGAGGTTCGTGTTAAGGTGTATTTCATTCTTTTCCAAAAATAATGATATTTTAAGTAATAAATTAGCAAGAGTGAAACAACTTCGCCATTGTAAACAAGCACTAATAACGTTCCTCACTATAATTTCTAAGATTAAGTCGGTTAAGGTCATTCACTCATGCATTCAAGCCCTGTGTTCGAGTTTCTCTTTCTATTAATATGGCTTTTTATATGTAACGGTGAACTCGTGTATAAAATTAATGAGAATCATAACACATATATATGTAAAGCCATGAATGGAGAACAACTTATATGAATGAGTTTACTGCCACAAGATGTTTCGACTCTATAATACAAAGTGTAAAGGAATTACATATGATATTTCATTATTGAATCAGAAGAACACAAACAATGACCGGTTAAACATTTAAAAGAAAATATTTTGTGGGAGAGATTGACAGATATGCAGGGCAAAGGCGTAACAATTTCACATGCATATATTGTACGTCTCATCTCTTCAGAGGCCATTTTCACCGTGTTTGTCATGCATGAGGTCCCCATCCCCAACTCTTATGAGACCCCGTAAACAGTCCGATTGGTACTCTGCCACGTCACATATATTTGCAAGATCCAGCTTGTTACTGACTTGTTCTCATCAAAACAATTTGGTCGGACCATCCAACTAGTTAGACTACTTGACTCAAAGTTCTCTGGTGTATCACACATTCAGTGAAATATTCCTAGTAATTTTCAGTAGGTGTAGCTTCAGTCCTACTATTATTCAGTGTTACGGGTGTTTACCCGTTAGTTTTGGTTTTCACAACCATTTCAATCCTTTCTATTTTCAATCTTAATCATCTATTTCCTTAGCAATTAATGTTACGTAGTATTGGAGAGATTTCCGTCTCCTTTATAACCAAGTGAAGCGAAATGGAACCTAATTTTTTATCAAAAGTAGTTTCCACACTCTCGATTTTGTTTTCTACACTCTTTTTCTATTTTCGAAAAAGAGGAATGCGAAAATGACTTGTAGTCTGCTCATTAGGTTCCAGTTGCTTTCCAGCTGCATGTAAAGATGCCCCACTGTGAACAGCCTTCAACTTACAGATTACTTAGGCATAAATAGCTAATCTGGTTGCCGTCTTCAGGAGAAAAACAGAAACTCCCCTTGCCCCCTCTAGGACAGTATCCAGCTGTGGCTGCCACTTTTAGACGTAAAACCAATGCCTGTGCTGGTAGGGTTTTCCCTTCCAAGGACAAAATTATGTCTCTCACAGTAATTTCAGCCAAAAGTAAGTCTTTGGTAGAACAAAATGATCCGTGAAGTTGATGCAACTCATATGATTTGTGTCATGGACGTACCATTTATCGTTTACGGCATATGACTTATAACCATTTTGTTTTTATTTTTTCTACGACCATAGAGAGAATAAATGGAGGAAAATAACGGATAAAGAAGATTGGTGAAAGGAAAGACGGAGAAATGAAGGAGAATGAAAGAAATAGAAACTTGAAACTGATGGCAAATTTTTATTTTTCATTTATGTACGTACAATTTTTTCACATCTCATCCACCTATCTTTCCTTCATACTTAAAGGGTGCATTGTATATAGAGTTTGATGAACTTTGCTAAATTCTCAAATTCATTCAATATATATTGTTAAAGAGTAAAAAAATTTGTATTGAATAAAGACTTTTGTGACTTCTAAAAAGTCTATGAAAATCTTGTGTTTTTGTGAGTCAACAAAAATCCACGTTTATTCAAAATTTAAATTATTTTAAACGATTATCAAAAGTCATGGATTTTGAGTAGTTTTATGGGTTATAGCAAATTCTAACTCTACCTCTAAGATTTAATGGATTTCATTTTGCTCTATTTTCTGAGAATATACTCCTTAACCCAACATAATGAAATGACTAATTATTAACACCCATCACCACGTCGTCACCACCATCTTACCATAACCATATCCTATATCCCCACACCCACTAGTATGCCATCATTGGCATGAGCATCATCATCATCCCTACTATGACCACCACCTACACCATCATCAACAAGATTGCCACCTTTACCACCACCATCACCACTCCATCACCACCACCCCCATCCCTACTCATCCACCATGCGAACATCACTCCACCGCCACAATCAGCACCCCTACTATTATTGCTGCCACAAAAAAAGCACCAACTTTACTACCACCATCTCAAATAATGAAAACTGAAAAATAATAATACTTATTAATAAGGGATTTTTAACGAAACACCTCCAGTACTGTTCATTTTTAATGAAAATGACATTTTTACTCTAAAAAGTCACTCATGGTACTATTCACTTACGACACTTTTTTGTCATTTTGATTAAAATTCAAAGTTTTCAATCTTTTTTTATTAATTTTCCTTACTAATAAATTATTATTAAAAAATTCATTACAGTACATATTTTTTATAATATTCCACAGAAGTCTACCATTTAACTCATTTCTTATCTAAAAAAGTATATCAACTAAAGTCAATGAAATTTTACAAAGTTTACAATAGTCCGTAAAAATCAACCAAATTATTAAATGTCTCGTCACTTTAAAAATTCTACAAAAGTACGTATAAATTTTAATACACTAAACCCTTTAATCTTCTCATTTGTTCTACGTATTTCCCATGAAGTAGTTTTCGAATACCCTTCCTCCCTCAGCGCATCTTTATTTATTTTTTAAATTCAGAATAAAAAAATAAATCAGAATCAACAGACAAAAATAAACAAGATGCGCAGGTAAATCCGATTTACCGTCGATCCGAAAGCCGAAAGGCGAAAGGACAAGTCATATACAAGTTAGCTGAAACTTTGAGGAGTATTTTTACATGTACGTACAAGTAAAAGAGACAGCAGGAGTAAAATGAAATATTAATTGAAGTTTTCTATCACCTATTTGTCTTCCCATTTTCCTATGCCGAAATTATATTGCACAGAGGGATTGCAGATTTCATCTCCTCCGAATGTTCGGCGCCAATGCCCCTATGTCGGTGTGTATGAATTGCTTTCGGAGCTGTCCATAATCGGAATCTCCACAGTGAGTCGAAAAGCTCTGACTACACTGGCACGAAAGTTACTATCTACGCGGTTGAAGCTCTTGCTCAGGAACAATGGAACTGGCACCAAGTGGCTCATACGAAACGATGTCTTGCAATTTGTATTTCCTAACCAGCCATGTCCCTAATGCTAATAATCCAACAGCTGAGGTAACTATAGCTCCAACTACCACCGCCAAAGAGTGTTGCTCCCACCACGACCTACAATTCTCCAACAGTCCAATTTTAACAACGAAAAAATCATTCGAGTATAACTTTGTAGCAAAATTCGAAAGCTAATCTGGTTAAAGAAACATGAAGGAAACAGAAAATCAAGCAGCAAAGACAACGTCCATGAGGTTACCATTATGAATACTTGAATGATGAAATCAACAAAATCAAATTTCCAAAACCATATACTTCATTCCAGTGAAAAGAATGCAAGACATGAGAGGCAATTTTAGAGAGCGAGAAAAGAAAAGGATGGAGAAAAACCGGGTGAAGTAGCATACCGCTTCTTCCGAGGCTCAGCCTTCACCTTGACCAACTGATAAGTTCCAAATTTCTGAGGAAGCTGCATATGATGTTCCTTTAAGCGCATAATTATGCCCTGCAATTTTGAGTAAGGATTGAGTCAACACTCTAGTCAGCAAATGGCTCCAGTTGTAAGTACATGTTATCCAGCAACCCAAGCAACAGATGACCTATTACCATTGCCTTCGCAGCAGAAAAGCAAGTTGCAGGTTCAGCAGGGAAGATTGTCCATCTAACAACGAAACCATTTCCCATATTGGTGTAGTTCACTAAGCGAACCTGAGAAGAGTTAGTGTTGTGGTTAGTAAATTAACTGAAGATATAGAAGCAAAGTAATATTAAGATATATCAGCAGACAGTAATAATAAGGTATACTGGCTCACAATAAAGATCACCAAAGGGTCGCAATCGGTTGGGTTAGAGTATGTTACCAAGAACAATGAGTCCGAGCTCAAGTATTTTTAATTGACAACATGACAGAGATGAAACTCAAAGAATTAAGAAATCCACAGAATTATGAAAGACCTTTATTTAAAATTTTATGACACCTTGGGGGAGGGTGGAGTAATTTCATCTTTGATTATTCACAGGTAGATGTTAAATTCTTGAATCATACTTGAGCATTGGTAGAGGATGATGCTACATGGTTAGGGTGGCCCAGACCCAACCCATGCCTATCACGCAAGACCCAATAAAAACAAAACAAAAAACTACGCTCTCAAGTCCAAGATAAAATAGCTAAACTTCGCTAAACTATACCTGGGAAATATCAACTTCCAGCTCATGAGCAATAGAATATGCCAGTTCTGTGAAGTTGGGTTTCATAGTGTTATTGATGCTCAGCATCATATCGAAACTTATTAACCCTATTTGAAGTTCACCTGTTATCAAACATTTGAGATGTCAACCAAAACAATACGAAAACTTGCAGTGGAAAAGCAAGTTGCAAATGCATTACAAGAGAAACTATAAACGAAAAAAAGTTGTCAAATTGGATTGGAAATGAGTCAACCTAACATTAAAATGTCAAGAGTAAGAAATTATACATCCAGCACTAACAACCTCAGATACATTGTTATAGTATTCAGAATCAACGTCCAATATGGTTCGATTATGACATTCTTGAATTTGAGAGCATCATAAAGGTCATTAGAACATTTGACTGAAAAACTAAATCTACCTGGAAGAAATGTTTCAGGCAATCCACCTGGGGCAATGCTAGGAGAAATTTCTACACTCGTATTCCGGCCATCAAAAGCTAAAGGTGCTGGAGGCGGGGCATTATTATAATTCAATCTCTTCCATAGTTCAGAACAATTAGTTTTCCAAAAGCCAATCTTATCGTTTTTCCGGTCATAAGTCACAAGGGTATTACGCGTAATGATTCCTGTACAATTCAACAAACTTTTAGTAAGCTATCCCCACTTACAGTTGTGCAAATGCTGGGATCTGTTTGGGACATAAAAGGGGAGGGCATATGTTATTTCCAATGTGTAAGCAATACGTGGTTGTACAAAAGGATTTGCAAAACAATACAAAACCATCCAAATAGAGTGATTTTACAACCACTAACCTCCTAAAAGAGTAGTATCATCACCATTTTCAAAAATCCCCAGGCAATATGCACCACCAACCTTTGTATGCTGAGGAACAAGCAAAACAGAGAGAAACAATGCATCAAAATGTGCGTGTGTATAGTGAGATATGAGCAATAAGAATCATACACAAAATGTTAGTGCAACACAACCAGGGTTATAGCGGAGAGAGAGAATGCAACGTAGAAATGAGGCTATACAAAATTTTCACACTATTCTTAACTTGTGAACCCAAGTATGGGAATTATTTAAATAATAGAATATTTGATTTTTGCTATGTGATGAATGACAAAGAGAGTTCTTAACAAAATTATCGATTATAAATAAGAACTTCGAATTATGAAAGCCAAATATACAGCCTCAGACCCATCTTGAATCATATTTGTGACATTAATGATTTAAAAATAACATGCTCAAGAACAGTAAATAATCAAGTTACCGGGAACAGGTAATTCTCTGGAGACAGCAATAACTTCTGCCCATTGCCGAATACCATATCAACCTGTGGAAAAACTTTTGATAGTTGGGTGACATCCCTAAAGCATAATTCCATGTTAAACTCTCAGATAAAGAATTAAGTCAATTAGTAAATCAAGACATGTGGAAAAGGCTTTGTTGTTGTTGTTGTTGTAGTAAATCAAGACATGCATGCAAACCTCACGCAATGCAAGTTTTCTACAGGAATTACCTTCCAGCTCCTGAAAAACAAATATCTTGATAATTTGGGTCAGGACCATGGATTTGTTTGAGGGACTCAATTTGCCTCTTAATCTGCACATTTCCCAACCAAAAAAAATTTACCATTACTTGATGGTTCAAAGAGGGATGGACTGCAAATAGAAATACCTCCCTTATATCATTTCCTCAGGTAAATAGTTCAATTGTTTTTCTCTTAAGTAAACAATAAAGCACCTTTTCCATTTACCTTTCTAAAGAAAAGAAAAGAAAAACCCTTGACCTTTTCTTATAGGTATCAGGATCAGCTAGATTTTAGAAGTATTAAAACAGAGTAGGAAACTCAAAAGATGAAGACTTACAGCATCCTTAAACGCATGAAAAGCATCCTTTGGAAGGTACGCATAAGTAGTTCCACTATCCAATACAGTTCCATGCTTGCCATCAAAGATCTTGGGATTTAACTTCAAAGGTTTGCCAGCCACATGTATTTCCTTCAGGTCAATGTTGTAATATGGACTGTTTCAATCCCAGAACTAAAGTATATGTGTGAGATGCACAAAATACATTCTTCATGAAAATAGGTTTGAAATTATTGGTATTATAAAAGTCTGTACCTGCGAAAGCGATCTGAATGGGCAAATACCATATCAGGGGGAGATTTCATCTCGCCAAGAACCATGGCACCCCCTCCTACACCCATCCCTCCGTAGCATAATGAGAATGAGTCACTAATAACACCCTTGTCAACAAGTTGATCCATCACACTGAGTTGACCACGACCCAAACCGATAATGCCATCAGCACGTTGACGGTAAAGATCACCAGTTTCAATATTTTCACAACCAAAAACAGCACGCTGGGGCACAAGAACACTCTCGTTACCAAAAGAAAAGACGTCCTCACCAAGTACCCCACTGCTAGAGCTCATCTCAGCATACCGCCGCTCATAAGTGCATTGAGCTTCTTTCTTGTCACAGTTACAATTGATATTGCACTTCACAGGTTGATATGTACTAGATAAATCGGGCCGGAACCTGGGGTCCTGCAAAACAAAACCCCATGTAGCTCGATACATATGAGTTAATTCAAATAATTTATACAGAATGACTAAAAGAATTAGGAAAACAGGAATTTTTTTGGCTCCAAACAAAGAAATAACTAAGAACCCATTTGGTAAAGTTCGATTTTTATTTCATGGAAAACCAAAGACAGTTCTCCGTTATTTCCTTGTTTTTAGCAAATGGAATAGAAAATAAAACATTACTAAACAACAACTAACCTAGTGAAATGTGATGCACATTGTTTTAGTCCCTGCCTTATTATTTTTAAGAAGCATGCTAAACGGAATAGGATTCTCTCCCCTCCTAATCCCCTCCTAATCCCCTCCCCTTCCCTTCCCTTCCCTTCCCTTCCCTTCCCTTCCCTACCCTCCCGTCCTCTTTCACTTTCATTTTTGTCTTTCTCTATTAAAAAGTCAACACAAGATGTTGACATGGCTTAAACGTGACTATTCAAATAGGAGGGGAGGGAAGGAGAAGGGAAGCGAGGAGAGAATCCTACTCCATACTAAACTTTATATAGAATTTCAATCAAGAACACTGGACAACAATTATCGAGCTTTTTCCGCTCATCAATTAAAGTCAATCCTAGATGCGATTCGAGCATTTCTTCGATGCAATTAACAATTTAACATGATTAGGAAGGTATCCAAAAAGAGGTCGCACTTGGTGCGATGGCAAGTGCCTTCGCCCATGAGCGGTAGGTCTCGGGTTCGAGACTTGGGAGCAGCCTCTCCATAAATAGGGGTAAGGCTAGCCGACATTCACCTCTCCCAGACCTTGCGTAAAGCGGGAGCCTTGTGCACTGGGTACGACCTTTTTTAGGAAGGTATCCAAAACTAGAGAAATGGGAAAGTACATAAGTAAATAAGTAACTGTATGTTAAACAGGTAAAACCTAATTGCACAGTAACTAATAACTACAATTAACTTAAGCACGGAAATGAAGCCGAACCTGATGAAAACCACACTGCTTACAGTCAAAGCAAGGCACATAAGTCACCGTACTTCCCGTATCCACAATCAGCGCGAATTTCTGCGGGGGCGTCCCAATCCACAGACGCGTCGTGTAGTACCTGTTTCCAATTCCAAGTTCCCGAACCTTCCGATCAGCATATAATTCGATATATCAAAAGCTACAAAACTAGGGAAATTTGGGAGGAAAGTCAAACCCGTTGGCGAGGAGATCGTCATAGAGCCTCATGTGGGCGTTGGGCACCGATCTCTGGAGCCGCCGGCCGTCGAAGGGTCGCCGGTGGAGCCAATTGGATTTGGGAGACGAGAAATGGAGAGGGAGGATCATCGGACGGCGGTGATCGTCGGAGAGTGAAGCATCCGCGCCGCAGAGGTTCAGCAGCAGGAAGTAGATGAGAAGGAGCGAGGTCCGCCGAGCCATGGCTGCTGCCTACTACAATGGAGACGCAGAGGACTTTAGTCCTCCGTCGTCGCAAGGGTCAAACGCGCTGCTTCCCAAATGAAATTTCTTTGGACCTGAATTTTTCTTTTATTTTTTTATTTTTTCAGAAGGTTTATATAGTCCGTGATTGGGCCGTTCCACGTCAACCTAAGTCAACGAATAAAAACTTTGGATGGGAATGTTTGGTAGCGAATGCCAGAAATCATCTCAATTTTGTTTAGACAATAATTTTATTCGTTTCTCTAGAAATTTTTTTCTTAATAGAATGGAAAATTAATATTTTTGGGTTCTTCTTCGTACTGTGGTTGTCATGTGTTAATAAACTTAACATTCCTTAACTTTGTTGTCATAAATTTAATATGTGTCAATAAATGATATAGGTGACACAAAATAGGTGCAGAAGATTTAATCGCTCATGTCAGTTGTTTTCAATTGATTTACTCAATCCAATGCTCAAAAACAAAGAAAAATTGCATAAGAAGCTAAAAAAAGGTGTAAAAATCATTTTAAGGACATAAACAAAAAATTAAATAGTTATCAAACGATTTCTAAAAAAAAATCTGCAAGGCCTTATAAGAAGTTGTTTCACTCTTCTTATTGCCAAACACCAACTTTTCTCACAATCTCGATCTCCATAGTTTAGAATAGCGCTGGTTCTAAAAATGCATTTGTGAAACACAAATCTAAAAGGAAGGACTAAAGTGAACAATAAGGAAAAAAAATTACTGAACTATATTCCATCCGGAATTGTGAATAAAAGTTTCCCTATGCAAATACGAATAGCATCTCAATTGTTTTAACTTTTACATAAATAAAAGAAAAGAAAATTACAGCAGAGTTAATCAGAACAATTCCAACGTAGCTATTGCCTTCCTAGTTGACATAACAGAGTACAACAATCAACTGTGGGAGAGATCACAATACACAAAAACCTATTCCCCCAAAACAATGGGAGGATCACACAACTCTACAGTTTCGTAACGGACATTAATCATCCCTCTGTGATCTCCTTTGGACAGGATTTCGATATTACAAGACTAAAGTTAGCTCCTAGCCGGCTGCTGATATCCACACGCATATTTTCCGTTCTTCCAACACCTACAAAGGTGACTTTGCAACGTAGGCGGAAGAAGCTCTACAAGATAGCGAAACAACAGGACAGTGAGATCAATCCATCTGCATCTATATTTGGGACTGAAAAATGAGAACAACACAACAGACGCCTAGAGATGCAATTTCTTACTTGCATTTCTATATATGTCGCAGGCACCTGTCAAGCCGAGCAAGTACTTTTCTTCCATAAGAATTGCCACGCAGAAATTCGGAGTATAAATTAACCAGATTTAGTAGAGCTTGATGGTAGATACCCTGTTCTTGTGCAATAAATGAGATTTAAAAACCACACAGTTGAAACTTAATCAAAATCATCTAGGCTTAAAGGACAGATGAGCATATCAAAAGATAATTTCACAGCTACAGAGATCATAAGTTGATAGTTAAGAAACGTAGAGTGCTAGGATATCGTATCAATTTAAATTTTCACAAAACATTTTTATTTACAAAACGCTTATACTTTTTGAGGCTTTTGGCTTTACATGGTGAGCATATATGCACACAAAGTTTAGAGATGGGACCTCAAGCTAATTACGTTTTCAAGTAAAATGAAGTAATGAACAATACGGGCAAAGTAAAAACATCGAAGCACTTAGATGATCTAACCTTAGAAACCTCGAGTGCTGTCTGGATGACAAAGTTCCCATACTGGTGAACAAGAAGCATTGACACATTTGGGTTGGTGACCAACTCAAATATAATCTGTGAAGATTGTTCTTCGCTTGACTCGGACAAGCATTTCTCCACAACGCAGCTACCAAACTTATTCAATGATATAGAAATATAACTGCCTTGAAGTTGTCTCAAAAGATTTTGTGTGATTTGCGGGATCCTCAAACCTAGTAAATGTTGCACCACGTAGTTTCTAGGGCATTGGGAAAATAACAGAAAACATTAAGTAAAGATTTAGAGCGTTATGTTTAAAAAGTTTGGATGAAATCTCATAGGAACAAACCCGTAGCGATCTACTGCAAGTACTGTTGCTTGCGCTATGATAGCAGCAACCAGGCGTTCTCTATTTTCACCACTAGAGTGTTCAATGCACTTTTGTAGCACACAACAGCCACTTTTGTCCTTCCCAATTGTGGAACAATTAATAGCCACCACAAGCAGAAGACCCTGCCAAAGAAAATGTCAATGTTCGGTACTTAAGGAGAGTGGATTCAAGGACTAGTTACAAAGAGCTTCTAAAACGATGCTTTAAGAAACATGGAAAGATTGGCGCTTCTTGATCACCGGATCTTGTATCTGCAAGTGACATGATTTCTTTATTATGCATGTCCCTTTCTAAAATACCAACGTTGGATGTGAAAATATGATGTGGAACACAAGGTGAAAACCGTTGATATGAGAAGTAACTATGAAAATAAAGATTATCTATTGAAACTAATGATCTACATAACCTTCAATTACAAGATTCCGTCATGTAAATCATGGATACAAAATTCATGTGCTTTGCCGGACATATTTAGAAATAAAAAGCCTAAAATTTTGGTTGTTCAATTAGGGTGGAAGTGAGGGTCCAATCTAGTCCCTTCTGCAGTTAAAATTTAATTCCAAATGGATGTATCACACTCTTTGTTTGAACAAATCACGACCCATGATAGCCTATTAGAAATAACATTAGGTGCATGGATGATAGTTTCCTGCTTTCAAAAGCTAATAGGCTAAAGTTCCAGCCACAAGCTATGGATCGGCTTAAAATCATAAAACTTTATTGATCAAGAGTAAGTACTTATCGTGGATTCTTGCAACACGTAACGATCACAAAAAAGACGAGCAGAACCAGCCAAAATTCAAATCCAAATCCAACTGCAACATGTAAGACTAACATAACAAGATACAACAGTAATTGCAAATCGCGTAGACTGTAGAGTAACAGGACGGAAACATTACCCTGTTGTCTTCCTCAGAAAAATTCTCTAAGCACTGTTCGATCACATGTTGGCCATTGTTGTTCTTACTCAACACAGCGGCAGCAGGGCTCAGAGCTCCCATAATCAACGACACTTGCTCTTGGTTAGTAACGTACTGCAACAATTTCTGTACACTACGAGTTCTGTCATAAGAAAGATAGGAATAATTACCAAAGTTATATGGTCAGCAATCTTAGAAGTTAGAACAATTACCCACATATTTACAAACAACAAATGCAACGGGCTTGTAACTTAAGTGGTTAAGAGCATTTAGGCAGACCATACCCGCGAGTGTCGAGGGCAATACAAACCAGTGACGTATGACTCTCCAATATCAACTTCGAAAGCATACGGGTCCTCTGCTCTTCGGTGCAGACCTCCACAAGCTTCTGAACGACATAGTTCCCGTAAGGGTCGAGCATCAAAACGACCACATTTTCCATAACCTCCAAGAATATTAAATCAATCACATCCCTGTTCGGTGCATCCTCCATTGTTTTCTGCAGAAATCGACAGCCGTGCTGCTGCTTGGCCAAAGCAGCGATATTTCCGCGCAAATCAGCCAACGACAGGCGATCCAGAGGTTCCTGAAACCCAGCAATGTCAGAATGCACCCAGCAATCTTGATTGGGAACAAAGCCATTCGAGCCATTTCCCACCCAGCAATTTTCAAGACCAAAATTCCCTAAATCCCCACCCCCGCCGTTCTGTGAGTTCAGACGACTCTGCAACCACTCGCCGCTGCAAAAAGGCATCGAATTTCCGCCTCTAAATCCGTGATCGCTTGATGGGTAGTTCAGCGCCGGCCCATTACTGTAATTGCCGCAGTCAATGCCGGAAATCCGCTGCTGCTGGCGGCTGAAAGCTGACACATTTAGGCGAGAAAAGGCAGCCTCCAGGGTTTGATCAGAATGGGATTCTCCCCCAATGTGGTTCTGCGACGATGAGCTTCCGGGCACACATTCCGGCAACAAAAATTCCGGAGCCCAAAGCGACGCCGTTTCCGGGAAACCGCGAAAACCCTCCATCCCCTGCCTCAACAGCTATGAAATTTCCGGCAATGGAGTTTTGAGAGTGAGAGAAAGCTTCGAACTTTCCGAGATTTTTGAGAGAAGAGGGTTCTGAAATTGCGATGAGAGGGAGAGGGAGAGGGAGATATTTAATTAGGGGGAAATCTGGGGGAATTGAAAATATGGGAAAAAGCTTGACCAGTGAGAGACTGAAATGGGGAGTGAGAGAGTTTCAACGGGGGTCTGAGTTTGCATGCAATTTATGGAAAGTTTTCATGCGAGATAGCGTGAAGAGAAAGAGAATAAGGTGGCCATGTCCCTCTCTGTACGCGGCGTATGTCTGTCACCTCAAACAATGGGCCCCAAAAGAAAATATTAACAAATATTGGGTCTCATTGACCAATAGGATCGTTGCATCTTTATGCTACTAGGGTTTTGTATTTTGTTACAAATGATTAACAATAATGTGGTTAAAATTTGTTTTTAGTAAAAATCGACCTATTACTTATAAGTAAAGAAGAATATCACTAGACCGCTGTATTACGTGGTCCCAAAAGATAAATTTTAAACATAAAATTTAAATCTGATAGTCTATGTGACATTGTGATATGTTTTAAAGTTTTACTCCCAAACTCAATATGTCAAACTAAACTATTATTTTATTACATTATATTATGACAAATCCATTCTTTGTACTATCCATAGGATCAACTATACCAAGTCACACATTCATATTCTGCCATATTCTGGAAATACAAAAACAAAGAAATTTCACGGTCAAACTACCATTAAAATAGAAACAAGATAAAAATCAGAAACCTAAACGCTTCACTTTGTATTGGAAAGGGGCAGTTAATGGTTCCGGTGGATCTAATTCATTGAAATTCCGTCCAATAAAAGGGAACAAATATAAATCTCCAAAATAATAGATATGATTGTTATGAATAGAGCCATTTATAATAAATATTTTAAAATAAAAATAGAAAAAATCATTTAATAATTTTATTAAAAAAAATAAAGTTGCTGTCAATTTTGGCATCAAGAGTGAGGGTTATCAATCTATAGGTTCGTTTGGATGTGCTTTTAAAATGACTGAAACCGTTTGTGGTGAAAATGTTTTGGACACCAATTCTTAGTAAAAATCTAAGTGGATCCTGGAAAAGCACTTTAAGTGCTTCCTGTAAGAAGCACATATCTGGTACTTCTTCCAAAAAGCACTTAAAGTGCTTTTGGAACTCAAAATCAATTTACCCAAAAGCACTTTCAGACATTTTAAAAGCACATCCAAACAAGCCCATATCATGTTATATAAGTGGCTTTTTAGTTGGAAAACATTGTTGCTGTTAATTTTTTATTGTTAATATTGATTTGAACATTTTAGCATGGTCTCCTTAGCATTCTCCTTTATTTGTTTTTTAATTTCATTATTAATTTTTATTTTTTTTTGGTGTATCCAAAGGGAAAAAAATAAGAGACCCGCTCGAGCACGTCACTGAGAGTGAATTGTAATGATAAAAAATTTGATAGGTAAAATATAGAGAGATCAGAAATTGAAAAGAAAAAGTAAGCAACAGATACTAAGATGTTTGACAATAAAAAGAATGATAAGGTCAAATATATAAAAAGAGTTGGCGTGTTTAATCAAATCATATTTTTTAAGGAAAACTAATAAAAATAATTTGAAAACTTTAAGTTTTAATGATAATGATAAAATAAAAGGTAAAGTGAATAGTATCAGATTGACTTTTTAGTATAAAAATATGATTTTTTATTAAAATAAAAAGTACCAGAGCTTTTCGTTAAAGTTCCTTATTCTTTATTGTCAAACATGTATCTATAACTTGTTTATATATTGTGAGACTCGGCAATTATGTGTCAACGATCACACATATAAAGAATGGCTTGCACATAGAAATAAATAAAGATGTGGTTTCTTAAGATATTTAAGACTCTAGAGAATGAGATTCTCATCTCATTCTCTGGATATTTTAACGGATAGATTTTTGTTTTAAAATAAAAAAACCAAAATATAATGATAAAAATCCTCAGTGTGGGACTCTCGAACTGTTGCCCCAGCCAACCCTTATGCGGGCCTTCCCCTTGGGTAATTTGGGTGCCAAACTATGGTGGTCTCCATCCATGCTTCTTATTTTCTTTAGCTTGCCAGACATGACAATAATAAGGGATGAAAAATCACTTTCTGGGGTACACTTGTGAATCCCCAGTGAAAAAGAGAAGGTATGGCAGTGAATCTTGTACGTTGGGAGAGATCGATGCAATTTAATTAAATAGAGTTTATTGCATGTTGTACTTTGCCTTTGCACTTCAGCAGTTGACGACTAATTCCACAGAAGAGAGACATCAATTTTTATCTGAACTCTGCTGCATGCATAGAATGGATTCTACATGAATTTTTTTATATTTTATAGGTCCCACATCATATGAAAAAATCGAATGAAATTTAAAGAAAGAAAAACTTCGAGTATCTCTGTATTTATTGATAGGAAATGTTAAACACATACTTTTTGACTTGTCATACATTGATTTTGTTTGATTTATTCAATTCAATATTTATAAATAAAGAAATGTGTGTGAATGACTAATTAAGAGTGTGAAAATCACTTTCCACTATTGATTATCACATTGGTTTGTGCAGTATTGTTAGTTTCCAATGCAATGGTGTATTGTACTTATCAAGTGTTGGTAATGAAAAGTTCAGAGAAAAAATTGGGTTATTAAGTATGGATAAGACTAGACAAGCCAACTCTTTTTTTTATTTTTATTTTATTTTATTTTATTTTTTAAAATTTTAAAATTTTAAATTTTTTAAATTTATGTTTATTTTTAATGCTTTGTACAATGCAGTGACCCGTCAAATTATGAGATATGTGGCATATGCAGTCCGCATATCAAGGGTCAAATTGGATTGTGAGCGGGGCAGATCCATCTTCAGGCAAGGTGGGTTAGATGACCCTCACAAGTTCAGAAATCCTCCATAGAAAAGCTGGGTGTTGCCATTTGAACCTTGAAAGCAACCCTTCAACTACTCTACGAATTGCCTCTATGGGCATTGAGCAGGGTAGCCACTAGCCTCATGCTTTGTATGTGTTGTTATGGACATTTGTTGATAGGCTCACTCGACATATATTGGCATGTGTCAGTATTCTCACTCAAAAGCTATTGACGTTAGTCGACACATTCGTTCGAAAACTATTGGTATCTGTTGAGATATGTGCAATATAACTTGGCAAATGATTTTAGGCCTATCAAAACTCGATGAAATGCCAATTTGCATATTATTCCATCCAAAAAAAATTTACACACTACTCGCTATTCTTATTAACCCCTCAATTAATATTTCCTGGATCTCCCACCGATTGTGAGACCCTGCAATCGGTCCATTGATCTACAAAACATTATCTTCCTTTTGCTGCTTAAAAGTTAACGATTTCATTTCAATCAATCCATCATTGGTCTTTATTAACCACACACCAAAGCCCTTGGTTTCTGTTTAGTATAAAAAGATGGACAGTTTTTCTCTTTGTTTTTTAGTCTAGCACGGTTGCACCCCCGTCATACCCAAACTAACAACATCGACAAGTATTTCGCTCTCGCTACCAAATTTTCAATGAACGATATTTTCATGCTTTTGCATTAATATTTTCACGTATAATTATCAAAATGTTACTGTACTGATGTTCAAGACTTCCTTTACCGGTTTCATCAGCTTTCTTTGACTCTCATCTCTGTCACGTCATCATTTGACAGAAAAACTCCTTGACCCTGTACTACATCACTTGGATGTCAGACTTTTTTACTTAAGGGTTAGAAATGTTTGTACTGTGATTCATGAGATATCATATCACCCTTGCATTGGAACTACAAGCTTAACATCTTCGAGGAAGATTTAGAGGTCTGCTTAAATAAGACCCTTATGCCTCACCCTTGTAAGTTGTAATACACACTCTCACAAATCGGAACAGTTCATTTTCGTAATCATCGTGTAATAATCATCTATGCAAAAAATTAAAGATCATATCGTGATTTATATGTTCGAAACCATTCATTGAGGTCTACAAGCAGCGACTAAATTTGTCTGAAGACTCTGAACTGAGGAAATTAATCTGTAAAAAAGGTCATTGAGTATGCAAAATCGGATAAAAAAAACGATACGAAACACATCTGCAAACTTCACTTCCTCATTTTGTATTCACCGATACCCTCAGAATAACAAGAATTTACCGGTTTCACTATGGTACAAGATAAAACTGTTCCCTCAAGAATAACAAAGCAATTCGTTCTGATAGCAAAATTTTAAAGAGGCGAAAGTTACATCAGTTACATGGAAAGAAATCCATCCCGAATATTGCAACGATGCTTTGTCCGTCCACTAAACTGGAGAAAAGAATACTTTCTGTTTTCACTTATCGACATGTACAAGATGATTGTGTGTAGCTCCATAATGCAACGGTGTTCAGTTGTCTAAATTTGTATACTCATTTTTAACGAGTCTGGATATTTTGACGATTCAGAAAGATGTAACTCTTACAAATGCACCAAGGTTAGAGAATGTTATGTCGAAAGAGCTTCACTCCTGAAAGTATAGAGGACCCTCGCACCTAACTGGCTTGATTTGGTCCGCAACACAACTCAGATGTTCCGTGCTCCTTGCAATCGTGTGGATGTTGATTCAGTTACCTGAATCTGCAAACCTCTTGAACAGTGAACTGAAAAAAGTAGGAGGGAGGGCACCACTCCGCGAAACAAGATATACAATAAATGTTATATACGCAGCTGTGCCACTGCAGACCACAAGAGCAAACAACACTCCTCTGACTTCAGAAATGAAGAAATCCAACAACAGATAACCATTGATCACCATCACCAAAACCGCCACAGTCCATGCCACTTTCTGCAACATAGATCTTGTCAATGAAATGCTTCTTCATTTTTCAGATTACGAAAAGTAAATTTTCTTTTACTATGCAAAATGAGCTGTTGATAACCATACGCAGATCGGCTTATTCTAAAATCTATATAGATGTTTTCTCTTTAGAGTCGAAAAGAAATATGAAAGCTGAATTTGTGGATTTTAAAGCAATCCAAGATCAATATCAACCATGACAAGTGATTACCGAATAGATAGAGCAAACCAAACTAACAATACGACAGTACACATAAATCTATAAAGAGTATGCCCAAAATGGTAGAATAACAACGTTAACAACATACCTCGAGACCAGGTCCAATCTTGAAGACCCCCATGACCTGCTCCTTGGACACCAAGGTAAGAAGTGGTATAAGGGCAAAAGGAATCTGAATCGACTGAAGCACATTAAGCCATTCATTCAAAACATCCAACGAAGCCTCAGATCTATTAAAGATAATTGCTACAACTATAGTTGGCACAATTGCAAAACTCCGCGTGATCAATGCCCTCAGCCACTTCTTCAAACGAAGATTAAGGAAGCCTCCCATTATAAACTGCCCAGCATACGTTCCAGTTATTGTGCTACTTTGTCCAGCCGCCAGCAACCCAATACCCCAGATATAAAGAATCGGATAAAGCCCTCCTCCATACTTCTCCTGAAGATACTGACCTGCATTTACCAGTCCTATACTTTCTGCTTGTTTAGTACCATAAAATCCCTTGGCGAAAACTGTGGTGACAAACAAATTGATCATCAAGGAGATCAAAAGTGCAATTGATGACTCAATTGAGTAGTAGTTTAGTGCCTCTTGAACCCGTCCTTTCTTGTTCGGATCAATATTTCTTGACTGTACCAAAGCAGAATGCAAGAATACGTTGTGTGGCATAATGACACAACCCACAACTCCTACCGCCTGCCGAATTGTTTTCGAGCTAAGTCTTGGAACCACAATACCTGCAAGGAGGAGGAAGTGGATCAACACATATCAGTACAGCCAATAGTGTTGTAGTTTCCAGCGTGTACTTTGCATAGTAAGGTACAATTTTTACCCATTAAAAGTTCTTTCCCACTCGGTTTTGTGTCAACAAACATCCAGGCAAACGATAAACCCATAGTTGCTATGAGAACTGCAAACACACCTTCCAACTTCCTCACCCCATAGTTCTCAAGAAATAAAAAGATGAAACTGTTGCACGAAAGAGAAAACACAAAACCCTAGTTAACAGAATTATCCCTAGACGGCCAAAGTTGAGCAGCTAACTCCCATACCCATTCACCATAAGAAAAAGACATGAACTTATCAATTTTATACATGATTTTAACACGAAACAATTAAGTAATTTTTTATCCATATGCAATTTTCACGGATAAGTAATCGAACTCTTTGAAACCATGAATCACCAATTAAGTTTGAGTTTTAATTAAAAAGTTGAGGTTTAATGGTGAGAATATTAAAGTCAACAGCTGAAATCTAAACCAATTCCAATCCAATGCCACTTGATCAGCTCATTGTCCCAATAAATAGCATAAGTTCCTTTCAATCAATAGAAAATTAGCTACAAGATAAAGATTCAACCAAAAATCAAGCTGAAAAATCCCTACCCCACCTAATGATCCACTTAAATCAACATAATTAAGCAGTGAAAACCAAAATTCAAGAACAAATCAACAAGCATTTGACAAGAAGAGATAACACAAATCCCAAATCAAGACTTAAAACAGAGTTAAAAACGAGATTAAAAAAAGTAATTACTAAATACCAACCAATCCAAAGCCGTAATCAGAACTCCAGCCCAGAGCGGCAAGAACCCATGGCTCAGTATCTGAATCGCAATGGCGCTCCCAATCACTTCCTGAATATCCGCCCCAATCAACGCTAGCTCCGCCATGAACCAGAGCACCAACACGGCCCATTTCGGATACTCCTCCCTACAGAGCTCCGCCAAATGCCGACCCGTCGCGACCCCGACCCGGGCAGAGAGCAGCTGGACCAGCAGTCCCATGGCGGTGGCCCACATTAAAAGCCATAGCAGCGAGTAACCGGCAATCGCGCCCGACTGGAGATCCCCTTCTAAATTGCCCGGATCCAGGAACGCTATGCTCATCAGGAAACCCGGTCCGGTGAACAGCCACAGCTTCTTCCACGAAAAAGGCGGGACCGCCGTGGATTCGTCGTCGACGGCATCGTCGACGATCAGGATCTTCTCCCGCGCCTCGAACGCCACCTCCTCGTCGTCGTCCCATGTCGACGACGACAGCGACAGGGACTGCGGCTGCAGCAGGCGGTTGGCTTCGTCATCGTCCGCGTCGTCTCGCAGCTTCGACGACTCGTCGTCGTCTTCTCGCAATTGGGCGCTCATGGTTTCTGTTTGTCAGTCGTCAACCGAAACGCTTCCGTATCGGCGTTTTTATTTTTTTAGTTGTGGTGAACTGTTGAAGATAGTGTTGGATTTGCGCGCTGCTAAACGGACGGACGGTGAGATGGGTCGGATTTTGTGGACCGTGGAGTTGGCATTTTATGGACGGTTTTTTTGTTGACGTGGAAAAGAGAAAATGTTTGTTGCAGATGAAATATGTTGTGTTTGTGGCCATTAGGAGGTTGACACGTGTTCATATTGGCAACTTTGTAGTTATGGGAGTTTTTTTTTTTTTTTTTTTTGGCACCTCATGGAATAAGGAACATAGATCACGTTAATTTTAGTTTTTTTTGCTATACATGGATGACAAAGTTTACATTGATGAATTTTGAATACGAAGTTTAGAGCTTCTGATGAAAGACATTATTATATAAATGAGTGATATTGGTCGATAAATTGTTTTAACTGTGGTAGAAGTAGTGATATTGGGATGAAAGTTGGGGGTAGGGGTGGTGATCACTTTAGAAGGTGTAGTGAGAGTAGAGATAGCGACCTGCAACAGGGACATATTTGTTATTTCCTTACTCAAAACTCTCACTCTTGTAGAACTTAGAGTTCTCTCATCCAAACAACTCTAAGAATGACACCTATCTATTTAGGTAGAATATAAATTTGGAATGTGTTTCATCAAATTTTGTATGCTATCATTTAAGATTGAACATTGTTTGAAGAATAATGGAAGTATTCCAAAGTCTAAATAGGAATGATATGGTGAGCCGAATTGAGCACCGTTCTTTTGGTTTATGGGTGAAAATGCATGCCATTTGGCGCACATAATGCAATCCACTGTTGGATTTGATTGGATTGTATTGAGATGCAAGAAATGTGCTTTATGCCAATTGCCACAGAGTATTTTTCTATCAATTTGAGGTACGGCCATATCAAAGAAGCAATTTGAAACTCGTATTTGTCATCAAAAGAATTTAGTTATGGATGAATAAATTTGTTCGGATTTATCATGCAGTTTGAGTTTAGTATTTTTTTAACAAGTTCTTTCTTTTTATCGTCGATTGATAGTTATATATATAATTGGAGTCTGATGATCTCGTGATGTTCTTATGTAATCATTTTTCTTTCTTTTGAACTTATGGTCCGTGGTCAACAAAAAAAAAAAGAGCAATCACACTGTGATTGATGTAAGATGATGGAGTTTATGGAATCTCACACCCAGAACCAACCACAATTAATAGTATAAAGTTATAGGATATGCTTCTTTTGTGTTGTTTTCATAATGTATTGAAAGGACAAAGATTGTCTGCCCCATTGTTCTCGTGTCCTCCTGTTTTGTATAGTCATGGTTAAACCACGTCAAAATTTTATATTTTTTTTATAGAGATAATAAAATAAAAATGAATAGTAATATAAAATGTTGACGTGGCTTAACCGTGACCACACAAACAAGAGGGCATAGAAGGCACGGGAACAAGGAGAGCAGACAATCCTTGTCCGAGGGGCCGATCCCAAGCGATTATGACATTGCATCATAAAGCAATGGTTACGACATAATCGTGGTTGTCTTCTATGATCCTAGTTCCAAGATCATGCCGTAATCCACCAGTTGCTGAACACAAAGTGAAAGTGGCTCTCCTTCCCATCGATGGGTTTTCAACTTATGCTTTAAATAACCGGTACAAATGAACTCACAGCAAAGAAATTTTTTTATTGTGGATTCAGGGCATTCCACTTGTATAATGATATAATCTTTGTTTCCAGATTATACCATATAAGACCATCTCCAACCCTAGGCTAAAAGCCAAATTACCCTCCCAAATTACCCCCCCAAACATTCTCCAACCCATGTTAAAATTTTAGGCTAAATGTCAAATGCTATTTCTGGGCCAAATACCCCCAGCTTTCCCCTGGGCTAAATGCGAAATGTTTATCGGAATTTAAACTTTTTTAGATTAAAATGTTCATAAAATTAATTTACAATAATCTACTTATTTATTTAAAAAAAATTGATTTAAGAAAAAAATTAGCCTAAGTTTATTCTTTAATAATTTCGGGCTAAAATTTTAGGGCAGAAGAGTTGTAGCATAAAAGATGTTTCTGAGCTAAAAGCTAAATTTTTCGGGCTAAAAAATTTGACTTTTAGCACAAGGGTTGAAGATAGTCTAAGGGCGGTCTCATAACGTTTTACATAACAATTTTTGAAGGACTGTTTTGAAAAACAAAAGCGACAAATAGAATTTTATTTTTATGATTTGAGAATGCATTTTATAATATAAACATTGAAATGGTGATGGCCAAGGCAATCCAAGTCAATCTTTAATATTAGTTATGTCCAAGCCAATCCGTTGCATCCAACCGTCTCAAAGTACTGGGCAAGTTTGAAAAAATCAACAGTGATTGGGTAAGATCAAGAAATCAAACGGTTTCCGAGTGAAATACCGGGAATAATATTTCCTAGAATTACTTGTAAATATTAAGAAATGTTCAAAACCCAGCCAATCTCTCTCTCTCTCTCTCTCTCAGTCTCCCTCTTCAATTCAGATCGATGCCTGCATTGCCGAAGTTACCATGATCCGTCGTCACGGTGAGAGGGTGTTCGTCGTCGCACTCACACTGATTGCCGTCGTCACGCTAGTTGGCCTCCTCTTTGTTCTGAATCGACCCCGAAACCGTTACGATTACCAACTGGGCGATGGGTGTCTGCTGCCGAGAAGGTCCGATCCCCACGTGGAAAAGATGGCGGAATTCGCGGTGGCGGAGTACAACAAACAATTCGACGGGGAGGAGGAGCAGACAAAGAAGTCTGTGTCCGGACATTTAACGAGGATGAAGATCCAGATAGTTGCCCCGGGGGGCATCAAGTATACGTTTCAAATCATGGACAGGCATCATCCGGTTGTGATGTTTTACGAGGCTGTCGTGATCGAGATGAACTGGCTGAACTACAGAAAATTGGTCTACTTCAAAAAATTAAGGAGAGGCTTCTTTAATCAACTCGTTACAGACGTAAATTGGGATTGAAAGATTCAGAATTGTTTTTTGTTTGTCTCTCAATTCAGTTCATGTGGTTAGTTACGTGGTTCTTAATTAGCGATTGTATTCAATTAAGATTTTAAAAGAAAACAGTGAATTGTATCTCTTAATTTTATGTTCTAATAATCCGTACATCACGCACACATATTATGACCAGTTATTTGATTATACGACGTCACGACAATGTTTCAGGATCATACAACAATTTTCAATCATATAGCAAGCACGAGATGGTTATAAGAAATAAGACAGAAGAATTTATACACAACTCTTCAAATGATCATTTTTCAAGAACATGAGCAATCTCCATTGGAGTTCACTAGTGTTTGCTGATATACAAACCACACCCAAATCGCTCTCTTCCGCACAGCTTGATCTTAAAAGAAAATTTTGTGTGGCCTATTGAACAGTTATGCAGTGGATTTGGGCACAAACTAGAGTTTAATGGCACTCATTCTCTACGGATACAACTATTCTCTTTCCACATCCGAAAAATAAAATCTTGTCAATCACACTGATAAAAAAAATTTCACCAATCAACACCTTTGCTTCAGGAGTAGAACAATTTTTCCCACTCTGTGTATCAGCACTGTACATATTGGACACACCTTATTCTCCTCCTCCATAAAGCTATGAAACACGGGGAAAGTCACCAGCTCCGCACCATCCCTATTTGTGCCTAAGCCCAACCTGCAACCACACTATCAGCGCCTTCTACTCACCGCACCCTCTATCAGATCAGATTGACCTACCACACCACCACCCTTCTAAACATGCAATCTTACAAAATGAATGAATGATCTTTATCTGTCTCTTGGAGCAACATTTGATTAACCGGCCGTGTTATTAAAATAGCTAGCCGAGACTCGAGAGGTTTTAAAGAGACTCTTGGAGATGCTCTTAGTCGGTGAATAGATGAGGAGGGTGGGTACTCTTATTGAAGTTGAGATAGCAGGGCAAACTTTGTTGGGCGTGGCCTACACTTTGCAAGTAAAGGGTGAGCTTTAGGCATGGTGAGGCCAGTCCCTTCACTCATGTCCACCATTTCCTCACCACTTCTCTCCCACTCAAAACACTGAAGCAAAGACCCTAATGCCAGCCCAACCATCCTTATTGCTAGTCCTTCCCCAGGACACCCCCTCCTCCCGGTCCCGAATGGCAACAACACAAAACCATCTCTTTCCCCACCGTTCAAAAACCTCTCGGGCTTAAATTGCCTAGGCTGTGCCCACAGCTTGGGATTGTTCTGTATAGCCCACGTGTTCACCAACAGCATTGCGCCACGTGGAACACGGAACCCTCCCACAGCGCACTCCTCCGATGATTCGTGGGGCACCAACAATGGGTCTGCTGGGTACATCCGCAGGGTCTCGTTGATGATGCCCTGGAGGTAGGGAAGCTTGGGAAAGTCTGACTCCTCAATCAGCCTGCTTTCTCCGATTTGGATGTCGATTTCAGTTCGGGCTTTGGCTAGGGTTTCAGGGTTGTTGAGCAAGAGTGACAGAGCCCATTCCGTTGTTCCAGCTGAGGTTTCTGTCCCTGCTGATAGCATCACCTATGTGTGCAAAAGGCCTTAAACGATTAAAACCAAGCATTGTCATGTTGTTTTCACAAAGTTCTACTTTCATCCCTATATTTTCAATTGTGTCGAATTTGATGTGTAGTTTGCAAATTCTTCCAGTCCAAGGACATCCATCATCTTTTGTGAATGTCTATGAGAACTCTGTATTCATGGCACATGGCACATAGGAGGCTAGGTTTGATGGATTTTGTACAAGAAATAACGGAGAAGCTGACGGATGTTCTTGTACTGGAACAATCTACCAAACACACGTTTTTAATGTCTTTAGCTTTCACATAGTTTCTCTTTCATCCATGTATTTGGTAAACAGAAGTTGACTGATATCCTCTGTTGGAAATTATAAATTATATATTATAATTAATATTATAATATTTAATTTTTGTATGAATGGAAAATAAGAGTCATGTGTCATAGTTGAATTCAAATTCATAAGTTGTATCTGTTCGTTGAAACTTTAGACAAAAGTCATATTGTTTCAAAAAGGGTGGCTTGAGTTATATATAAACTCAAGCATCCCACCTGTCTAATAAAAATGAAGAGAAGAGTTTTTTCCAATGTCTTAGTAGAAATTCGAGTCGTGTCTTGAGAGTACAGAATATATGAAGTTCGCTAGAGTCCGAAAATTGAAGTGCTTTGACTTCGGATTATAGATTGTTGAATCCTGGGAGATGGACGCCTATCGAACTACAAGCACAAGAGTATGGGCGAAATTCTATCTTTAGGACATTACATTTATGCAAGCCTCAATCTCCAAGTTTGTCAGTTTTTCTAACTTTATCTCTAATTGTTTATATTAGTCTCATACATAATTGATGTTGTGAATTTCTATGTGATTATTATTATTAGAATGCTTGTGTTATTTTCATATTTTCTAATATTGCTCCAACAATCTAAAGATAGAAGTTTTTTATCTCTATGGAACAATTGGAAATATGAATGTTGGCGATTCTCATATTGAGAGTTTAAAGTTGTGGCTTTAAAAGTGTTGGACAACATATGGTGTCGTATTTGATGTGAAGCCAAGAATTGAATGTTTCTTGGCATTATACTGTGAGTTTACTCTCGTTCGTTTCTGATTTAGACATGTATCAGAAAATGCATACAATCGTAAGTCGAATAGATGAACTTCCTGGACGAAAATTTGTATGGGCATTGCCACATTGCAATAGAAAGTCATGTTGGTTGACTGGAAGGGTCAGATGGTTTGTGAGTAGGTTAGTGGATATTTGGGCATCCCCAATGACTTTTCTCAACAGATGCCTTGATTGATCAGTTTGGTTGGCGGTTACCGAGCAAAATGTCAGTATCATAAACTTTCAACTCATTCCTACAGGGACTAGATATGCATGATACAGATGATCGAAGATTTTGATTTTCGCATGGGTTTCATTATTGTCAGATTTGAAGATAATTTTATGAAACCAAAATTTTCCTTCAAGACTGATCAAAGGGATTTGAAATGTTTCGAATGCATACATACATGGCTATTAGAAGATATGTATATAATGAATGATATGATGCCAATCCAATTTTGGATTGGAACTTGAGCAACAACAACAACAACAACAAAGCCTTTTCCCACTAAGTGGGGTCGGCTATATGAATCCTAGAACGCCATTGCGCTCGGTTTTGTGTCATGTCCTCCGTTAGATCCAAGTACTCTAAGTCTTTTCTTAGAGTCTCTTCCAAAGTTTTCCTAGGTCTTCCTTTACCCCTTTGGCCCTGAACCTCTGTCCCGTAGTCACATCTTCGAACCGGAGCGTCAGTCGGCCTTCTTTGCACATGTCCAAATCATCGGAGCCGATTTTCTCTCATCTTTCCTACAATTTCGGCTACTCCTACTTTACCTCGGATATCCTCATTCCCAATCTTATCATTTCTCGTGTGCCCACACATCCCACGAAGCATCCTCATCTCCGCTACACCCATTTTGTGTACGTGTTGATGCTTCACCGCCCAACATTCTGTGCCATACAACATCGCTGGCCTTATTGCCGTCCTATAAAATTTTCCCTTGAGCTTCAGTGGCCTACGACGGTCACACAACACGCCGGATGCACTCTTACACTTCATCCATCCAGCTCGTATTCTATGGTTGAGATCTCCATCTAATTCTCCGTTCTCTTGCAAGATAGATCCTAGGTAGCGAAAACGGTCGCTTTTTGTGATCTTCGCTAGATTGCTCCGGTCATTAGTGTGGATAAGTATATAAATGGATAGAGATAGGAAAGCAAACACAAGATGTACGTGGTTCACCCAGATTGGCTACGTCCACGGAATAGAAGAGTTCTCATTAATTGTGAAGGGTTTACACAAGTACATAGGTTCAAGCTCTCCTTTAGTGAGTACAAGTGAATGATTTAGTACAAATGACATTAGGAAATATTGTGGGAGAATGATCTCGTAATCACGAAACTTCTAAGTATCGGAGTGTGGTGTCGTCTTGACTTGCCTTATCTGTCTCATAGGTAGATGTGGCATCTTCTCTGGAAGTACTCTCTTCCTCCATCCAGGGGTGGTATCTTTAACTGGTGGAGATGCACAAGGTAATGTATCAATTTCACTTGAAGCTTACTTGTAGTCTCAGGCTTGGTCAAGCGCGATACAAACCATGTAGTAGGAGTCCCCCAAGTCGCCGAGCTAGGGGGTCTGCTGAAAGAGGTGACAGACAAGGTAAGCAATCAGAGCTCCGACTGATTGTTCACCTTCTCCCCATCTTGCAGCAGCATGAAGGATAAAGAGAAGAAAAAATGAGAAGAGATGATATGAGATACTTTTGCTTTTGAAGAAGTAACTTTCCACAGGCTTATTCTTGAACTGAGCTGGAGGGTTTTCTGGTTTCCTCCAGAGTATAAGGCCGACTGAAGAATTTGAGGGTCAAAACAAGTCCATCAAATCTAGAGTACGTTCCACCCTGCTGATATGGGATACTTTTGCTTTTTGACAGAGTAATGGGTGTATCGGCACGTGTGCTGTTACGCTTGTCTCCACATGCTTCCTTGTATCCTTCGCACTTGCCCTATCTGTTCCTCAAGCAGATGCGGAATCTTCCCTGGAAACATAAGATGTTGAAGATGAGTACTCGAGAGCAATGCCAGGTAAGTAATCAGGTAAGGGGTTCCAGGCAGTCAGTTCCTGGCTGGAAGCTTGATCCAAGTGCTGACTGATTGCTCTCTTTCTCCTTGTCTTGCAGGTAAAAACAAGGCCAAAGGAAAAGACAGGGAAAAAGCATGATATGGGATACTCTTGCTTTTAACCCTGATGATATGAGATATTCTTGCTCTAGTATAGCTTGTTTGCAGAGGTATTATCGGGGGGAAAGAAAGCTGAATATTTCGAAAGGCTTCGTTGGGAGTGCCCTCTCAGATATGATGAAAGGTTGAGCATTTTTGCAGGTCTGCCTGTC